TTATACCAAATGTTGTATAAAACTAGGTTTCTGTTGCGGTCAGAATTGGTTGTAGTATTGAGATAGTTTTGGAAAAAAAGAGAACATAAGAAACTAAATGGAACATAAATTTTAATTGTGGTCACATTCGCTAACGGATATGCTAGTCATATTATAAAACAAGTAAACAAGTGTCAGTCGGTGTTATATAAGAGGTTTTGAATTTAAAGTTGATCAAATCGGTTACTCAATTCGCTTCAGTTTATGAAATATTTACGGGAAGGAGAGGGCAGACAGGCCCCACTTTCGGAATTTATCAAGGCTTAGTAAAGATAATAGGTTGTACAAAGTTTGGATTTTCCTAATATTAAATTTATAAATATTTAACATTTTGATCATTTGGGGCGGTGATGTTAGAAATAGCGGCCCATGGGTCCTGGACTTGGTCTAGACGTGGTAAAGATAAGGTGTACCAAGTTTGCTTTAAATCGTACATTACATTCGCCTGATATTGGATTTATAAATATTGAAAATTTTCACCATTTGTGGGGGAGGTACCAGAAGGAATGGACCAATGGGTTCCATCTTTGGACTTGATCTAGTCTAGGTAAAGTAAAAGGTTGCGCAACGTTTGGTTCAAATCGGATATTCTATTCGCCTGATTTATAAATATTACAATTGTTCACCTTTTATGGAGGAGGTACCAGAAGGAGTGAACCAATGGGTCCTATATTTGGACTTGATCTAGGCTTGGTAATGATTAGAGGTTGTACAATATTTGATACAAATCAAATATTCCGTTCCAATGATATTATGAAATTTATTTGTATCACAATATTGACCATTTTGTGGGGGAGGTACCAGAAGAATTTGAACAAAGTTTGGAAGAAAAATTATGATGTGCAAAGTTTGAATGTAATCGGTTACTCCGGCCAGACAGGCAGACAGACGGACGGACATTTGTAAATTGCCTCAAAATTGTATGAAACGGATTTGGTCCAAAGAAACATTTTGCCATAGCAAAATGTATATACCCTCATTACCTATATCAGATTTTGGTATTGCGAATGAGGTACATAGGTCCACATTTTAGTTTAGCTCCCATCTAACCAACCATCTGACCAATTTTTCGGTATTTTTATTCCGATATTTAAAAAGGTACAATTTTACATCAAAGAGGCTGAATTGTTGTATTCCGAGATATTGGAGTCGAGAAAGATATTTACGAAAAAACCAATGGCACGATAGTTAGCCTTGTTTTTTAATTGCTTACTCAGATCTTCTCGGGATTTCAAAGCGGATGTTATTAGTTTTGTTTATGACAGTACCGAGGTATATAAAAACGTTCACTACCACGAAGTTGTAGTTCTCAAGTTCCTGTCGGTCCGAGTCTACTGGAAGTCTTGCGCATTGATACCATCAGATTGGCCTTCTCGCCATTTACTGCCAGACCCATTTTGGCAGACTGCTTCTCAATTTGTTCAAAGGTGGCTGGTACCGCTCACAATGTTCGACCCATTATATCGATATCATTGACGGAGCATGTGTTGTTTGGTGAAAAGACTGTAATTTCCGTTCACATTTGCATCTCATAGTAAGATGTTTAAAATATCACACGACAAACTGTCACCTTGTCTGAATCCTCTTCGGCATTGAAGGGCTCCAATAGGTCGTTTCCGACTTTAACTGCTGACCTTGTGCCAGTTAAAGTTATCCTGCATAGCCGTATTAATTTTGCAGGAATGCCGAACGCAGACATTGCTTTAAATACCTCTGAGCGGATTGAGTTGTCGAATCAGGCTTTATAGTCGACAAAGGTGGAATGTCGATGATTTTTTCGTGTGACTTTTCCAGGATTTGGCGCAGTGTGAACATCTAGTCTATAGTGGATTTGCTAAGTCCGAAGCCGCATTGGTATGGGTCAATAATGTCATTGTCCAAAGGCTTCAGTCGGTCACACAGCACGCTGGATAGCACTTTATATGCTATGTTAAGTTGGCACATATCGTCTTGTCTCCTTTTTTGTGCTTAGGACACATGGTGCTGAGGTTCCAATCATTGGGCATGCATTCCTCTAGCCAAATTGGAAAACCATCGACACCTACTGCTTTATTATTCTTCAGCCGATAAATTGCTATTCTGGCCTCATCTTGTTGGTTCTGGGGTGTCTTCTTCGTCGTTACTATTTGACACCAGCAGCTTTGCAAAATGTTCCTCCAGATCATAAACACGATGTCTGTATGTGTCACCAGGTTTCCTTATTTATCCCTACAGGAGGATGTGTCCGCACCAAAGCATTCGGTTTGGTGTTTCATTCGTTGGTAAAATTTCCGGACTTCATTCTGTTCTTTCTTCTTTTTTTTTCTGAAAACACGTTTCTCCTCTCTTATTTTCTCCCGATGATTCTCCATCACATTACGTGTTGCTACTGTCTGCAAGGTTGCCCTGTACGCTGGGATTTTCACATCAGTAGCATTACGACACACCTGATCGTACCATGGGTTTCTTGATGGTGGTTTTTGGCACCCAAGTGTTGCTTTTGCTGCAGTTTGTAGGGAGTGGGCAATTCTTTGCCATTGTAGTTCTATATTATTATCGGAACAAGGAGTGCTTTCGACAAGTAAGTTGGTAAGCTGAGCGGAGTAGGCTTCTGCTACATGTTGTGTTTGCTGCTTTTCGACGTCGAGTTTCCGTGCTGTTGCATTAAGATGAGTGTGAACCATGGCCGCTACAAGGTAATAGTCCGAATCGATATTCGCTTCACGGATCGATCGAACAACTAAAACACTGGATGAATGCCTTCCGTCTGTCACAACATGATCAATTTGATTTCTAGTTGTTTGATCGGGAGAAATCCAGGTAGCCTATTGTATAACGAAATGCTTGAATCTGGTGCTGCTAACTACAATGTTTTTTTGCTGCCGCAAAGTCAATCAACCTCATGCCGTTGTGGGCTACATTTTTCGACGGTGGGCAGAATTTTAATCTCCTGACCGGGGCAGCGATCATACGCTGTTTCTAGACGCTCGTAAAATATGTCTTTGGTCTGTTCTGATGTATAATAAGTTCGGTTTTATGCAGATTATAGCAATTAGCTCATCTAATGGAGTTTTTTGTACTGCTTGAGTACAGTACAAAAAGGACACACAAGAAATCAAGTTAGAATCACGAAATGTTCTACAAAAATGGATCATTCTATTTTATTGAAGAAATATAATTTCAAACCAATGAGCGCAGCAGTATAGCCTTGCCGACCATACGATACCCTACACAACTACCACGGAACTCTAACTTTCTGATATTTGCACCTCCCTGAGCCGATTACAGTTCAACAGCACCTCTTCCTTACTCTGACATTTTTTCCGAATATTACTTAGATTCAGTACAGCCCTTCTAATTACTTGTCCAGATTACCTTCACCGTGGGTTGTGTTTGGCTTATAACTGTGGCCTATATATCGACTCGAGAAAACACAAAAAAAAAATGATGTGATCATCACCGAAAATTATAGGCATTGTCTTTGACCATAACTGGAACCTTATGGAAAATGTCAAAGCGATCAGCGTTATATTTCCGCCCTCTAGTGTGGTAATGGGTTACTATATAATATCTGAATACGTAAGCACCGGTAAATATTTAAGTGCAACTCAATTGAAAGGTCAACCACTCCTCTTGGATATACTATCAACTTCTCGCGTCTATGTCCTTCAGGAGTAAAAATATACGCCATAGAATACAAATTTAGTCATTTTTCACACAAAACTCAGGTACCATTTGTCCCGCTAAATAATTACCGATCTTTACAAAATCGCGATAATTGTCGCCTCTGGAGTGACCGGAAAACCTGACAAAAATTAAGTATTTGGTCCATTTCATCCCCTCAATATTAACCGATCTTTACCAAAAACAATAGGGGTCTTCATTGCCCAGAACCCATCCTACATACAAACATTCGTAAAGATTGGTTTTTAAAAATTATAATGGACAGACGGACGGACACGTTTGTCTAGATCGACTCAGCTGCCGATCGGTATACTTAAAGGAGGGTCTAGGGTCAATATTTCACGGCGTTACAAACTCGTGGGTCTGCACAAAGCTATAATACCCTGACAACATAGTTGTGTAGGGTATAAAAATGCATACAATAACTACATATTAAGATATGAAGCTATCTATTCAAGTAAAAAGCATCACAATCTCCGAACTTTGACCCCAATAAGAATATTCCAGACTATGACCTCGATTTGTAATATCGGTCTACGTTTTGTTATAGTCCGGTACTAATTTCGGTATTTTGGTGCTTTTAGTTGCATTTTCGAAATGAAAGGGTTCTTGAAGGATTCATGTTTTGACATGAATCAATTTCGGCATTTTAAAGGTTATAGCTGCCCCCTCTCACCAAAATGGCCACAATTTGGCATACAGGGTTTTCGGAGGCTGACATATTTCTATGTAGAAAATTATTAGGTCGATATTTTGACATATCCCTCACACACAAAAAGTCCCGACTCGTTTTTTCCTCACCGAAATGGTTGTAAATTAGCAATCGTAATTTAAAATTCCGAATTTCTCGTGAATAACAATCTTCAGCTATGTTTTTATATAGCCCCCATACGAAGGTCCCGCATAATTTCGCATATTATTATTAGGTAAATTATAGTTCCTAGACCAGTTTCCCCGACCTGAGGATTTTACGAAATATTCCATCAAAAGTGACTGCAGTTTTGATTGAAAAATCTCCCCAGGGAAAATATTGTCAGAATATTCCCTTTACCCATTTATTGTCGAAATTATGAGTCGTGAATAAGGAGTGCTCTTGAATGTTATTTTTAGAGTAGACCTATACACAAGTTCGGAATTATCGAACATAAATTCTTCTTACTTTTTAGTTGATAGACGTGGAGCTGATACCTTCATTTTTAATTTTTATTAAAAAAAAAAAAAAACTATATAAAAAAGTTTATATATTTTTACTAAATACCGAAAATATATAAATATTACATTTTTTAAATTTGTTTTTGAAATTTACAATAAAATATATTTCTCATAATGAGTTACGCGCTTGGCCAAGGCCTCATGACCCAACGACAAGCAGACGGGATTCTTTTTGAAGACACCTTGCGATTGCAGGACAGCATGGGGAGCACAACGCCACGGGTCATTTGTGTCAATTTGCCATTTCAAGAGACGTTCCTTTAAATTCTTTAAAATTCCTTTGTACTTGGGTTTATCTACCAGATTATAACGTTCCAAAGAATCCGCCTTAATGTCATACAATTCCCATTCGGGACGTTGATAATATCTGAGCAGATTTTTATACCATGGCAATTGTTGATGATGCATTGTGGCATTGAGAAGTTGTTGAAAGGTGGGTGAAGTATAGAAATCTTGATCTATGGGGAAGTAGGACCAATAATTGAGGTTATGTATTAGTTTATACCTCCTGGTGCGTATCATACGCATTGGATAGTTCATAGTTATTTCGTGATAATTTTGCGAAGCAAATACGGTGTCATTTTCATTGGTAGGGGGTTCGGCTTTTAGCAGAGGTAACAGGGATTTGGTATAGGAGGAGGAAGATGTGTGACTGCTATTATCCATTGGTATGTGGAAAATATCCAAAATTGTGGGGAATATATCCTGCAATGAGGTCATTGCCGCTGTGGTCTCCAAATGCCTGTCCTTGGGATTGGGTGAGGCCAAAATAAACGGTGATCTAATGCCATGTTCATAGAGATTGGTGCGACCCAAGGGGAAGGGAGGACCATTATCCGAGGTAAATATTACCAAAGTTTCCTCTTCCAATCCGAAGTCTTGTAACTCCTTTAGCACCAAACCCACACCTTGATCCAATCTGGACATGGTCATATATTGGGCTGCCAATTCCTGACGCACCACATCAGTATCGGGTAAATATGCTGGAACTTGTAAATTACGCCAATCATAGTAAATGGGCTTCCAATCCGGTATCGAACCCATACCTTCCTCTCCAGAACCCCAACGTTCACAAAACTCCCCATACTGCGGGGTAATGTGACCACAACGATGTGGATCGTGGAAAGCCACCATCAGGAAGAATGGCTTCTCCTGCTTCTTGGCATTTTGTAAAAACTCCCGGGCATACAATTTCATGCGCGTTATGTTCCGACCAATTTGATTTATGCTATGCTGTTCCTCTGTCTGTTCAAAATCAAATTTAAAATCCTCTCCCGAACCAACATGCTTCTTACCAATAATGCCACTAAGTACACCACCTTTGGACTTTTCTCGTAAAATATTCGGCAAGGTGGCGGTGCCGGGCAGAACATTAAAATTATGAACACCCTGATGTAGGCCATACATACCACTGGCATGACTTGGTTGACCCGTCAGGATTTGTGCCCGACTTGGTGAACAACTGCTTACCGAAGTAAAGGCATTATTGAACAACAGACCCTTGCGGGCCAATTTATCCAAATTAGGTGTCTGACAGTACTTGTTCAGATATGCTCCCATCTCGAAGCCAGCATCATCGGCCAGCAGCAACAAAACATTTTTAATTTCTCCCGCTGTGGCGAAAGTTAACATCACGCCGAACAATAAAAACTTCCAAAAGGTTAACATGGTGATGGGTTCGTGTTTTTTCTTCTTCTTTCGACTTTTTTGCTCCAAACCCTGTCGAAAAAATCCAAATTTCTTTGTTAGTAAATTATTTCCAATTCGAAAAAAATATTCCATCATCTATCCATACCTTCAAATCCGCTTTCCAAACATTCTCCAGCCACTCACCAAGCAAGACTAAAATTTTTATTTCTTCACATCCACCAGGCTAACTACGTCTTGCTCCACACTTTGTGTTTCTTTTCCCAGGCCATAGCTGACTTTCATTCATTTGTTGTCGGGAACACACCCTGCAGTTCACCGGTACACAATGCGCCTTACATTTGTTGTTGTTATTGTTTTTTTTTTACTTGTGTATCTTTTCGATCTTGTTTTGTTATTTTTGTTTCTTTTCTGTTCTTACTGCCTTTATGGCTGTGTTCCACCTCGAACTTGTTCTCTCCTTATATCCAAGAAGTCATCGCATTTTGTAGTAGTTGTTGTGTTGTTGTTGCTATCAAATTCAATCCATTCTCTATGTACTTTAATCCAGTTTTATTTCTTTGTTTCTAATGTGGCTGGTATGTGCAACCATGGGCACATGAGGAAAATTAAATGGAATGGAAAATTAAAAAAAATGAACAGGCATAGTAAAAATTTTACACGAGGTTAAATTTTGATCGGTGGGAGTGTGATTAGGCTGGATTTTTGGAATTTTTGGTAGTATAGAGAACAAAAAGTACTAAAAGGTACTAAAAACATTGTTAACTTTGTAACATTGGTATTGAGGGAAACGGGTAGGTTCTGAATTCTCCCATCTGTGCTGCAGATCCTTTATCTATACTGATAAAAGAGTAAAATCATGGACTGAAGTTAGAATCTTGAAATTTGGGGTGAGGGTCCATTGGTGTCAGATAAGCCTATGTTTTTGGAAATTCGTACTAGAACGGCACAAAAAGTACAAATTGTGGTACCATTTAAAAATTGATTATAAGATTGCTACTTCATTACTTACTTACATACTTAGCTGGCTTGTTACAGAACGGTTGTTCCACAAGCCGAGCTTAAAAAAGATTTCCACCAATTTGGAATACCACGTTCCAAGATGTTGTTTTCTACTTGGTCTTTCCATCTAATTCGTGGCCTTACCCTTCTACGGGAACCATCATTAGTCTCGTTTTTATATGCCTTTTGAGCTGGGGCATTTTCATTCAATCCGCACAACGACTGACTATGTCGATGACCGCGTATAAATTGTAAAGCTCGTGGTTCATTCGACGCCGATATTCACCATCGACGCAGATCGGCCCGTAGATCTTTCGGAAAATTTTTCTCTCAAACACCCCAAGAGCTGCCTCATCTGCTTGCGCAAGTACCCATGCTTCTGATTCATATAATAGCACGGGTAGTATCAGCGTCTTGCAAATTGTGAGTATGGTCTGGCGGGAGGTGGCCTTGTTTCTAAACTGCTTAGTTAGACCATAGTAGCATTTGTTGGCCATCACAATCCTTCTACGAATTTCAAAACTGATTTCATTCGTTTTATTTATGGCGGTACCAAGATATATAAAGTATTTAACTACCTCGAAGCTGTAGTTCTCAAGTTCCACGGTTGGTCCGAGTCTACTGGATGTCTTGCGCGTTGATACCATCAGCTTGGTCTTCTCGCCGTTTACTGCCAGATCCACTTTGGCAGACTCCTTTTCAATTTGTTCAAAGGTGGCTGTTACCGCTCGCAATGTTCGATCCATTATATCGATGTCATCGGCGTAGGCGAGTAACATGTGTTGTTTGATGTACAGAGTGCGTCTTTGCGTCTCGTATGACCTTTTCCAGCAGGATGTTAAAAAGATCACACGACAAACTGTAGCCATGTCTGAATCCTCGTTCGGTATTGAAAGGCTCCGATATGTCCTTTCCTACTTTAACTGCTGACCTTGTGCCACTTAAAGTTATCCTGCATAGCCGTATTAATTTTGCAGGAATGCCGAACGCAGACATGGCTTTAAACACCTCTGAACGGATAGGGCTGTTGAATGCGGCTTTATAGTCGACAAAGAGGTGGTATGTGTCGATGTGTTTTTCGTGGGTCTATTCCAGGATTTGGCGCAGAGTGAAAATCTGGTCAATGGTGGATTTGCCAGGTCTGAAGCCGCATTGGTATGGTCCGATGATGTCATTGACCATTGTCTTCAATCGTTCACACAGCACACTGGATAGCACTTTATATACGATGGGAAGGAGACTTATTCCTCTATAGTTGACACATCTATAGTTGGCAAAGAAGACAAGACTTCTTTTTTTGTTCACGGTCCTGTGTCCCTGAGGTTCCAATCATTGGTCATGCATTCTTCTAGCCAAATTGTGCTAATCAGCTGGTGCATGCTCCTGACCAGCATCTGACCACCAATCGTGAATAGATCGGCTGGTAACCAATCGGCTCCTGCTGCTTTGTTGTTCTTGAGCCGATTAATTGCTTTTATGACCTCATCTTGGCTAGGTGGTATACACTCTATACCATCATCTCTTATTGGTTCTAGGGTATCTTCTTCATCGCCACTATTTGATACTAGAAGCTTTTCGAAGTACCCAATCAACCTCATGCCGTTGTCGGATGTTTCTTCATGAAGGCTGAATTTTTCGACGGTGGGGCCCATGCGTAGTATTGGAAAATGGGGAAAATGCGTAGTATTGGAAATTCGTACTTTTGTGTACTAAATGGTACTAAATTTTGTAAAATTTGAATTTTACGTGAACCGATAGAGCTGGAAACCAAAAATGTGGAATTACGATTACAGTTGGAGTGTAGGATGTAGGGCTATGGATGTCATTTTGGAAACTTGTACATATGGTACTAAATTTGGTACAATATGAAGTCAGCGTCAACCGATAGAGCTGGAAACCTGAAATTTGGAATTAGAATCACTGTTGGGGTGTAAGATTACGGTATGTAGGAAATTTTGTAAATTTCTACTATTATGTACTAAATTTGGTACAATTTGAATTTTGGGTGTACCGATAGAACTGAATCCCGAAATTTAGAGTTAGGATCACGGTTTGGGAGTAGGATTACGGAATGTAAGAAGTTTTGTTAATTTCCACGAATATATACTAAATGTTACTAACATTGATACAATTTAGATTTAGGGGGACGTCCACATAAAAAAGGAAAAATTCGCATTAGGCGAACGGGATAGAGTTCAAAACTCTGACAAATGTATTGAGAGTCACAGTTGGGTATATCAATACGTTTTTTATATCCTTAACCACACTGTGAAGGTATTATGTCTTTGTGCATGTGTGATTGTAACAGGCAAAAGGTAACGTGATAGACCCATTATGGTTCCTTTTGAAAATATGCATAGAATCCCTTTCTGAGTCGATATATGCATGTCCGTCCGTCTGTTGATGTTACATTGTAAACAAAGTACAGGTCGCATTTATCATCCGATTTGGATGAAATTTGGCACTACTCATTTATTTGGCCCAATCACGATATTTTTAAAAACGATATTTCGGTGGCGGTTCCTTAATGGTCTTGGGAGCATTTTATAGCCACGGAATGCTTCATTTGACATTTCCATGTTGTCGGATGAATTCAATGGAGTACGTTCAAGTCTTGGAAGACAAATTATTGCCATTTTGGGAAAGCAGCAATAATGAAGGACTCATTTTTTAACAGATCAACGCACCAGTTCATAAAAGTCGCCATACTCAAGTACAGTTAAAATCGAAAAATATTAAAATTTCCGACCAGAATCCGATCGAGAACATGTGTGGAATCTTGACTCATTGTGTCTATGCAGAAAACCGCCAATACCAAACTGTATTTTACCTCCAAGAAGTGATTATCGATAAATGGCGGTCAATCGATGAAAACTTGCGAAAAATTTTGATCAACAGTGTGATGGATAAAATTTTTGAACTTATGCAAAATAAGGGAGGCCCTACCCATTATTTATAAAAGTTATTTTATTTTATTTAAGTTTTCAAAAATAAATTTTCCTAAAATAAAGTGTCATTAAATGCACAGTTGCTTTTGTACTTGAAATTGGAAAGCGGTCAAAATGACCGCCTTCGGCGTTCTAGTGTTAATACCGAACGAGGATTCAGGTGACAGTTTGCCGTGTGACCTTTTTAACATTCTGCTGGAACAGGTCATACGAGAGGCAAAGGTGAACAGAAATGGCACTCAACAACAACTTGAGAACTAAAGCTTCAAGGTCAAATGTTTTATATATCTTGATGCCACCATAATTAAAACTAATGACATCATTTGTGAAATTCGGAGAAGCATAGTGTTGGCCAACATATGCTACTACGAAGGATGTATAGGGACTTTGGTGCATTATTTACCTAAAATCGGACGAAAATATATATGGGAGCTACATCTAAATCTGAACCGATTTTCGCGAAATTTAACACACATCGTTCTGGACCTAATTCAGTACGCTATGCCAAATTTCTTGCAAATCGAATGATTTATGGACTTTGGCGCACAATTAACCTTAAATCGGACGAAACTATATATGGGAGCTATATCTAAATCTGAACCGATTTTCTCGAAACTTGGCACACATCATTCTGCACCTAATTCAGTACTCTGTGCCAAATTTCATGCAAATCGAATGATATATAGGGACTTTGGTGCACCATTTACCTTAAATCGGACGAAACTATATATGGGAACTATATCTAAATCTTAACCGATTTTCTCGAAACTTGGCAAACATCACTCTTCGCCTAATTCAGTAGTCCATGCTAAATTTCATGCAAATCGAATGATATGTAGGGACTTTGGTGCACTATTTACCTTAAATCGGACGAAACTATATATGGGGGCTAGATCTAAATTTCTCGAAACTTGGCACACATGATTCTGGACCTAATTCAGTACTCTGTGCCAAATTTCATGCAAATCGAAATATATGGAGGGACTTTGGTGCTCCATTTACCTTAAATCGGACGAAACTATATATGGGAGCTATATCTAAATCTGAACCGATTTTCTCGAAACTTGGCA